GATAAATTTCTCCACAACCCTTGTTCCATCTCCAGGCCACCAGCCCTTTCCTGTTTCATCTGTCACTTTGCCCTTGCGCTGTTGGGCAGTACACCAGCTGCCAGGGACACCACACATGGACAGGGGGCATTAGCCATTACATAACTGCACTCCTGCTTCCACTCCCCCATCACACTCCCCTTCATAGTTGAGAGACGGGAGACACGGGTCCTCCGGGGCCTACCTTGATGAAGATGAACACTGTTTCACTTTTCCTGGACGCTTAAAATTTTAATTTAGAAGTTATATCTTTGTTTTTTTGTTGTTGTTTGTTTTGTTTTTTTCCCCAGAAGCCCAAAACCTCAAAGGGACAATGGGTTAGGTTTTATTGATTGCTTTGTCGTCTCCCGTTTTGATCAAAGGTTCACTGATTTCAGCTTGCATCTGAACTCTTCACTAAAAACGGCTCCAAAACAATTATTCGGAAGTAGTTCAAATGTTGACTTTCCACTGGGTTTAAGTGAAGGATGTTCTAAATCAGATCATGTTCTAATCAATCAGAGTAAAATTTTAAAAACTGAATCACATAACATTAACACAAATAGCATTTTCTCGTGACAGAAGCAGTGATCTTGAAAAACAAGTTCTACTTTAGTTCAGCAAAAGAAAAATGTTTTTACTATTTTTAGCTTTCACCAATCCCAAATTAAACTTAAGCAACATGTATTATTGTCTTAAGAATTTTAAAATTCATTTGTGCAGAACTATTTTAAAATATGTGAAGAGTTTTATTGGCGAAATCAAAATAAAATCACTTTATATATGAAGGTTTTAAAACCTTGACTCCCTCTAGAAAAACTTAATTTACGCAAATGTTTCTCTTTGCAGCGTTTATGACACCATACTCCGTATGAAATCTCCCAATTTTTCTGACAGTTACACCTCTTTATCGTGTATTTGATCATGTTTTCTTCCCAGAGTTATTTTCGTGGGAAAAAATCATTCCCACGGGATCAAACTTCCACCGTCATGCTTCGCTAGGGGTGGCATTTTTCCAGTCACATAAAGTTCACACATAAACCTCAACCCCATAAAGTCTGTTACTAAATCATCTTCATATTACCTTGAAAACATAACATGAATAAGAATTTCCTGTCAAAACTGAAGAAGAGAAAACTGGGGCATGCTTTTGTTTTCAGTAGGTTAGATTCGTGTAACTGTGTCTTCACTGGTCTCAGTAAAAAAATAAATCAGCTCATCCAGAGGGAAGCGGATCCTCCGCCAATGTTTTGTGTGGATTTCTTTGAAAGAAACTCTGTTTTGTGTGCATTTATCAACACGGTTCATCCTAAATTATTCAATCAATTAGACAATTCAGTTAAAATTCCAGGAAATTTCCTCACAGACAAACACACACACACACACAAACACAGGAGATATTTTTTTATATATATATATGTATCACTTCCTGAGCCATGATGCTCAGAAGCATGGAGCATTAATAAAATTCCCAATTCAATTTATACTTCTCCCCTCTGCGGCAGCTCACACTGACAGCCATGCATCATACTTACAATCCACCGACTCAGGGGTGTATGTCCCATAAAAAAACCCTCTTTGCTGCATCTGCCTCCTGCTAAGCCCACAGGCTGAGAGGGCCTGATTTAATTTCCCAAATATATTAAATTGGCTGGTTTCATACAGCGACTGCGGAAAGCTTCGAGTTCACTTTATGTTCATTTTGGGCCACAAAGTTATATTTCATAAGACTTAAACTGCGTTGATCGTAATAATCTCCTGACATTATTATGAACTCTGCCATTTACTATATTTATTTTAAAAAAAAAAATGCTTAAAATGGGAGGTCAGATGAGTCTCAGCCTCATCCCCTTTGCTTTGAGTGACATGGCCACTAATCTGAGCCTCACGCTGAGAAACCCAGCGGATCGCCTCTTCTCCACCAGCCACTGAGATGTCAGTCCAGTTTAATTGAGACTGTCACACTCTGAATCCTGTGGCCGGAAACACGTAATAGAAGTCCTCCAGCTTATCCCCATTTTTAGCTAAATGAGGTGGATGCTCTGCAAACTTGGCCACATCATTATTGTTACAGACACACAGCAAGCAGGAAGGACTTTGTTGCATATCTGGAATTTTGAGGCCCATGTGAATTCAGTGTCCCCAAACACAGCAGGCCGAACAAGACGCACCTAAACGAGATCCACCTCTCAGAGAAACAAAGCGTCAGGCGCGATTTCAAATGAATGATCAACCAAATGTTGCACAAGTTGTGTAATAGAAATATTATTTCATATATTTCTATTACACACGACATCTTTTTGTATGTCTTTTTTTAATCATACAAAAAGAGACAACAATTAGAGTAACAGACCAAAAATTGACAAAGTAAATCATACTTTATTCAAGATATTTTTTTTTCTCTTTTCCTTTTTAAATTGCAAAAAGTATTCCATGGTAAGTGAAGCCGGTCCCACAGAGAGAGAAAATCAATGTCTTTCTGAGTCGGCGCTATAATAAGGATATTGCGATCTGAACACAGGGATCAAGCCTCCATTTGATTCTCTAAATCATTTGTCACCTTGTAGTGTGGATAAATTTAATTTCCTAGACAGGGAAGGTTCAAGACTGAGTGCATGTGTCGATGACTGTCGCGTTTAAGGGGAAAGGACCCCACCACCACCTCACACACACACACACACACACACTGAGACCGCTGTAATTCTCCTCTCTTTTTATAATGTTATCTTTTCTAAAAAAAAATTTAAAAACATAAGTTTTTTTTTTTTATATCTTGTTATTGTGATTTTTAGCAAAGATGGTGGACTCACATTGCTTCACACACCAGACACACACAGAGAGATAAACTTTATGTAACATTTAAAACAACTCACATTCATATGAAATCAGATTGTCACCTCATTCCAGCTGATAGTTTCTCTAATATTCTCAAACAGAGGTTTTGGCAAGAAGAATGTAAATCTTCACTTTTTTTTTTTTTTTTTTTTTTTTTTTTTTTTTTTTTTTTTTTTTTGAAAAATTTGGGGAAAATAGGGAGGTTTTTTTTTTTTTTTTTTTACAGTGCAGCACAGCTGAACAACATGATCCAGCTAGCTTCAGTTGTTGCTGTTGTATGTCATTCAGGCACATCTCATAAACACACATTTTTGTGATATTTGAACCACAAGAATGCTTCATGCTTCCTTGTATTTACTAGAAGGTGGAGCACATAAAAACTGCAAGGACCACACACACACACACACACACACACACACACACACCCACACACACACACACACACACACACACACACACACTCCTGCTATAAATAAAGAATATCTTGGAACCATTTGTATGCCAAGAACAAGCAGGAATGGCACAATTCTTCCCCCCCCCTCCCCCCAAATGACACCAAGCAGTTTTCCCCTGATGTTTGAAGCCTCAGAGTAGATTAAGCAGCATGCTATTTCCAGAACGTATTCAGGCTTGAAATGTGATATGGTCAGTTAGGAGAGCTAGACATTAAGGTACCGTTTGATGCGGATGACAGTAACAGTGGTCGGTATGTGATCCATTGAGTTTAATTTGACCCTCCACTGAGATTTGCTCACTGGAGGGTCCTGGAGCCAGCCGCTGAGTTCAAGTGAAAGTAATACTTTTGCAAGGCTGTATATACATAGATGATGTATTTTTCAACTCCAGCATAAATAAGACACATCTTCATTTTCCTATGAACATCAATACATTAACTAGAATAATAACTTTCTGTTCATCCATCCATCCAACCGCGATTATTCTTGAAAGGTTTCAGGTTCTGGGTCCTATTCCAGCAGCCATTGGGCGAGGGCCAGTGGCTGTGTTTCCTGTGTGTAACAACTTGTGACACACACAGGAAAAACAACCTTGCCAACAGCGATGAAATATATCCGATCATGGATTGTTTGCATGTATGAAAAGAAGGATCGTCAGGTTATTTTAATGCGCATTTGTTCTGTGAAAAAGAAGAGAGGAAAGAAGAACTCGTGCATGTCACCGCCATCCAGAGAAATTGTGAGGTCGTCTGTGATTACCATGTGCAGTCACAGCTCACAGCTGATTTCTCTAAACACAGGGAAGCAGAATAAATTCTCACGGGCTTCACTGCGCTGTCGTGATTCCTTAACACTTTTATTATAGCTTCTCTCTCCATAACACATCTGGGTCAGGCGGCCCTCGTGTGAGCAGGAAATTGAACTCATCAATAAGGGGAAAAGTATGGTTTACAGCTTTTTTTTTAAGGGGAGAGGAATCTATTTCACAATCTACTCAATTTTCAGTTAATGTCTGTCACATGAAATCTGAATTTCCCAGTTCTAAATCAGAAAATAAAACGTAACATTAAGACATTTCTATCTTATGTTCAAAAAATTATGTCATTACTGATGCTGACATTGGTAAATGCAAAGCAAGAGCTGATGAGTGTTGATGCATAATGTTGTGTTTCAGCGCAGGCTGCATGGTTTGAAGCTGAAGTTGCGTAGAGGTAATTGCATGAAGGCTGATTAGCTAATTAACCAACTCGACCATGAACCAGCAAATCATAGCAACTTCATTTTGAAATCAAAACCTCAACAAAATGGCCAAGGTTTATTTACTTATTTATTTTTATGTATTTGTTTATTTCATTCATTTTCAGCTTAAAGTGATCGTGTCACATGTTAAAATAAACAAAAGTTCTGGATTAAAATAAGCAGTTTGAAGAAGAAAAATTACTCCTTTTTATTTAGTTTAATTGGTTGATAGTCAACAGAATCCATATTTATTCTTCCAAACACAACAAACAATGATAAGTAATCTTTAAACAAAGGAAGGCAATAAGTCCTTATACGTACTGAGGCAAGATGGCCGTAATGCCAGATAAACCTCTCAAACTGCTGACAGTTGTGTCTCTAATCCCTGTTCACATTGATCCATCCATCTGATTTTCCTCTTTTCAACCTCTCCCCACTCTCACCATCTTCTAGTACAAGCAAGTGGAGCAGTACATGTCATTCCACAAACTGCCGGCTGACTTCCGACAGAAAATCCACGATTACTACGAGCACAGATACCAAGGGAAGATGTTCGACGAGGAGAGCATCCTGGAGGAGCTAAACGAGCCTCTGAGAGAAGTACGAGAAAAGTCATACTATTTCTATGGATAGGTTGATGGCTGTTTAGATGTCTGTTCCCACATATCCAAAAACAACAACAACAAAAAAAACGTTTTTCAGCCACAAGACCAGAGTAACTCAAACAAACTTCAAATTGCTGTAGATGAACGATAATAAGCTGAATATTCAGTGCTAAGGTAATGTAACCAAAAGTGTTTGGATTTGAGCCGTTATTCGGTCGCAGTTTCCAGGCGTTTAATTAAAACTAAATCAGATTTACTTTTTTCACCCCAAGAGAAGTTTTTATAACTTGCTTCACACTGGGATAATGTTTGGCATTAAATATTTAAGGTTTACAGAAACCCTTGTCAACCAGAAACGGCCTAATGATGATTTCTGGTATAAACTCTGATAAATGTGGACCTAATACATGTTGTTTGTAGCTGTGAGACAATCTGTCATTCTTGGTTTTGTTTTGTTTTTTTTTCAAAACCCCATTCAAAGATCAAGTTGATCTGAAACAAAATAAAAATGCAGAACAGGATGCGATTTCTTTCATTTCAAACAGAAAGCTTGTCAGCAGCTTCTGGGTCTTTTAAGCCAGCTGGTAAGCAGTGCGCAGCAACAGGTGGATCAACCGCTAAAGAAAGCTGCACACTTCTCTGGCATCTTCATTAAAAAGACCCTAAGCCAAGATATATTTTTCTGTTTGTGCAAGTCTGCAAATATTCCTCTTTTTATGCATACAAAGGCATGCAGAAGCCATGTGTGACTTGAATTTTCATCAAAAAATAGTTTTGTTTTGTTTTTTTCTGCTTAGCTGAAATGAATGTTGGAAACAGCTGAAATGTACCAGGTAGATCTAATTCAGATCAATTGTGATTTAATGTATTAGAGGATTAACTGTGATTCAGTAAAGGCACCGTTTCAGTTTTGTTGCATTTTTACACATGCGTTATGGTCTCAGTTTCTCCGTCTTCACCTCTTAGGAAATTGTCAACTTCAATTGCCGTAAGCTGGTGGCCTCCATGCCGCTGTTTGCCAACGCCGACCCGAACTTTGTGACAGCCATGCTGACCAAGTTGAGGTTTGAAGTCTTCCAGCCAGGAGACTACATCATCAGAGAAGGCACCATTGGCAAGAAGATGTACTTCATTCAGCACGGGGTGGTGAGCGTCCTGACCAAAGGGAGCATCGGCATGAAGCTCATGGACGGCTCCTACTTTGGCGGTGCGTCGCTTCATCGCATCGTTATTGCTCTGGCTTGCTTTCTGAATTCTCTGCGCCTAAAATTGATATTTCCATACTTTGCTGTGAAACAAAACAATACCCTGTCATTTTGAAATGCTAACACGTTAGCCTTCTCCAGCTGATTTCATACTAAATGATTCTTCCCTGACTTTACCCAATATGCAGATGCTCTGAACCAATGGTCACATGACCTTTTTATTAACACCCTGTAGTTAAACTCTGTGTGCTGAATCGTTAGCATCGGGTCCTTACTGCAGCAGATCAGAGTTCACTGATGTGAAAGATGCCCTTAGCACTGTTGCATTAACCCAAGTGCACAGCATGCTCTTGTGCACGCACATCCAATTAATAATAACTAATTAGCTTAGAGGAACTGTGTCTATGGAGCCATGTGTGATGTCTGATAAAAGGAGTTTATAAGCTGTGCCTGTCAACAAAGAAGACGTCACTTTTATCCTTGGATTGGAGGGACAGCAGGATCACCATGTACCATGTGGGATAGAATCACTAAATCACTTTGTGGAAGTGTGCATAAATGGTGAGTTTAATGCGACAATGTAACCTGTGTCCTCTATTACCAGTAGATACCAGCAGATTATGGAAAGTAGGTGGGAGAGTTAGTTAAGTCTAAATTCAGTCAAGTCCCCAGATTTAGATTTAAGGTCATTTTCTAAGCTTACTAAGAAGTTTTTTTATGACATAATATTAGTTAATAATATTGATGTTTTAGAGTTGCTGCCTTTTAATCCAAATCTTTCGCTGAGTACTGAATTTTTTTTAGCAGAAACACCTTAGCAAAATGACTGAAGCTCAACCAGATTGGATGTAGAGCATCTGTACAGATCCATCTTTAAATCTTAGCAGATTCTAGATTTGGACTTTGACTTGGTCATCCTAACACATCAATAAGATCGGAGCAAGGAGGTTGCTCTTTTCTGCACAGAATGAGCCACAACAACAATACCTACGTATTAACAACTCTTCAAACTCCAAAAAGCAATAGAAAATTTGTGCAGGTGAAGTTGTATTATTTTGCACCACCGCCCTTTGTTTCTAATGCCTCCCTGTTCAACGGCCCATATGGGCCATATCAAAATCTGCAGCCACTAATTGGACATCTCCATATGCTACAAATAACTCCAGCTATAAATCCTTCACACTAAAAGGTGCCAAAACAGCTGCTGCAATTGTTCTTCAAAATATGAAAACTATCCATTAATTCTGGATTCAAGTTTCTTTAATAGAACTTTTGCTTTCTTAGTTCCCAGTGTGCTATATATCCTGTTCACCTGCCATGACTACATGAAGATAATGCAAAGCTGAGGGTTGGGGTTAGGCTTTAATTTATATATCATATATTTTACTTTTCTATATATATAATATATTATACATAATATTGTTTTCTGAATGCTTTGGTCTTGCACAAAAAAAACAAAACAAAACAAAACCTTTATCCCTCTGGTAGAGGGATAAAGGTAATGGGTCCGAGATGTGCTCATGAAAATTCATGTTCCTGCGAACGTTCACTCTGAATTTCCAGTATTTCTCTGCATTCATCGTCGTCTTTAAGGATGGCGCCGTGAACTACAACTGGCCACCTGGTGGTATGAACAATTTATTCAGCCCTCGTGGTTTCATTAGCGTTATTATCCTTTCAACGCACTGCCCGCTGGCCACTAATGATGCTGGCAATATGCAAATGCGTGCATTATGAGAGACCACAAAGATCCCAGGTGAGGGTTTATGAAATGATGTCTTGACCAGTTTGCGAACAGTAACTCACACAGAAAGTGGAGCGCCAAAACGTTCTCACTCACTATTGCGTCCCTGAAATGTTCAAAAAGGCTCTTATTAGTGCATGTCATGCAAAATAGAGCAAATGCGGCAAACCTAACTGAAAATATGCTGAGGAGATTTATCTGTAGCACTACAATATAACCCGAGTAACATCCAAAGTGATCTTTCTGGATCTTTATTGAGGAGTAAATTGTACACATTTATTCCCACTAAATATGGCTCAGTTTATACACAGACGTATCACATGAGGAGTACATGTTTAGAACATTGTTACTCAGCATTTTGGAGGTGGTTTACCTTGCTTAATCTTCAGACACGGTTTGCTCCTGGCTGTTGACGTGACGGGGAACACTATGGTGAGATTGGAAAAGCTCTCTGAGGCCCTTGGGCAGCAGATTTCAGCAGCTTGTGAGTGTGGGATAGATTTTAAAGAGATCCCAAGAGAATATCTGGGAAAAAAATATTCAAATCAATTGCCGACACACCTGGATGTGGGCCGTCCAAGCAAGTTCAGAGACGGGTAGATTGTCACAGGAAGCGTCTCACTAAAGTCATTTCCTGCACTTTGGGACAGGGTGTCCTACTTTTTCCTCATTTGACAAACTTATTGTATAAGTATATTTTGTTTCACATCAAAACACAGTTACATTTTGGTATTTAAGTGCAGATAAATCACTTTTGTTTCAAAATACCAAAAAGGAGGTTAGGTATGTGACCATTTCTTAAAAAAACTAAATCTTTAAATAAGGTATCCTGGTTTTTGATTATTTTTTTTTATGATGGTAAATGAGAACCGACACTTGTACGAACTCTATCACATAAAAAAAGTGTATTTATTTGCATTAAATGTGTAATTTATGTGAAAATTCACTCTTATAGGGCAATCTAAGATTAAAAATTTTTGACTGCAATTTTAAATTAACTTTTTTAATATTTTATCAGTTGAGGGAAATGAGCCATAATGATTATGTTTTTAATTACACGTGCTTTCTATCCACAGTTTTCTATCCACAATTGGATAGAAAATTTTTTAACTATTTTGAATAGTTAGCTGAGCTTCATGTACTAACTTATAACTAAGATCAATTGCAATGCATGCATGACTGCATTGAAATCATTTTCTTTTAAAGTGACTCGAGACGATATTTGTTGTGGATTGGCACTATATAGACAAACTGAATTAAATTAAATTTTATACATTTTGCAAAACAACCCTTAGTGAATTTACAAATTGTGGTCAGCTTGAATTGGGCTGATACTTTTCCCAAGGTTATCAGTCTAGATTTTTCCTGTAGATCAAAAGATTTGAGCTCCATGAAGCAAAGGACTGAACGCTTACAGCAAGCAAAAGTTCTCAAATTTGAATTTAACTTTGCTTCAACCAACCAAACACATAACCTAGCTGTGCATCTGACTGATTTTGAAGAAACTCATTTGCTTCCATCAGAGAAATGCATCACCCTGTGTGCTATAATTTGTAAAGATGGGTCAGTTGGATGGTCTGCAGAGAATGTATTTGATTTATTCAGCAATAAGTAAATCTACAATATAGTTCTTTCAGCAGAAGATGGAAGAGTTACGCACAAATAAGTAATACCAGATTGTTGCTCAGTGTTTTGTTTTACTAAAACACTTTACTGTAATACAAAACTTTCTCAAACTCCTCATCTGTTGAGAGACAACACACGTTTTCCAAAAAAGAACAAACAAACCTCTAAGAGAGAGATTATTGTTTGGACAATCATCCGGTTGCTAATGGTGAGTGGGGTTGTGTTTATAAAATGATGTCAAAATACCTCAGGCACTCACGGTTTATTTTAGTGCAGAACCTTTATTTAGTTTCTTAATGGAGTATTCTTCTGATTTGTTATTCTCTCCCTTTTCCGCTGAGAGTCACAGGAGGTCAACCTTTAAAGGCGAGGGAAAAGGAGGGCATGTGGTTGTCAAGACAACAGTCAGCCCCAGCCCTCAAAAAAAGTAGAGCTACGGGTAAAAAAAAAACAGTTACTGAAGGAAAGGAGGAGGAACAAGTGAAGTAATGAAGCTTAGCTGCACATCTCTAAATTTAGTGCTTCCTTAATACAGCTGTCAGTGCGGTGCAAACACACGTTTTTGTTAGTTGGTCAAAATAATTATGCATAACTCCTGTAACGGAAAATCACTGCGATTTGGATCACATATTTGCTCACTGCCTTCGTTCTTCGGGAATTTGTTTCAATGCGGTGCTTCACTTTCAGAGCCCTTCTCACTTCCTGACGGCCTAAAATCTGTCAGTCTGGGCAATTTTCTGGTTTCTAGTCATGCGTTTATATTCCCTTTTTTCTCCCCTCCAGAGATCTGTCTGCTGACCCGAGGCAGAAGGACAGCCAGTGTTCGAGCTGACACCTACTGCCGCCTGTACTCTCTCTCGGTGGACAATTTCAATGAAGTGCTGGAAGAGTATCCCATGATGAGGAGGGCCTTTGAGACGGTTGCCATCGACCGACTGGACCGGATAGGTAAGGCCATCATGTTGTTGGACGAACAGAAGCAGTGGAAGACTTTAGCGTTCATTTTTATCAGCAGTAATTGGTCGTTCAGTGTAGAAGTGTCAGTTCAGTATGGTTATGTACCTCATATTGACAATCCTAAAATGTATGTAGTGAAAAAACAACTCTACAATAATCTAATGGGGAAAATAAAAGTGGGTAGAAGATTTTCTGTCTCTTTATTTGTCAAGAAATCCTTTAATTTGGAACTAATTTTAAAATGATACCAGGCCTATTTGGTGAGTTTACATTAATATTTAGATCTGAGTCCATAACACCAGCCATTTTTTTGGTAGTTGTTAGATGCATTAAGTCTAGTTGTGTCTGAATGTGTCTACTCGAACAAACTTTTGGTCAATTATCTTTTTTTTTTACACAAATATAGAAAGAGCAAGTAAGCTGATCCCATAAGATTCATTCATAAAATGCAGTGATGGGGGGGGGAGGTATTTTTTTTATTTATGAGATGTCTGTTTCAAAAACACTGGTCTGTCTGACAACTGTGACAGCATTGCGGGAAGTGACACTTAGACATTCTTTGTTTATGTTGTCATGTCTCAATGCTTTCAGTGAATATTTCCCTCCAAAGTTAAAACACACACACACACATGCACACTCACACACTCTGTTGTTATCTTTCTTCACAATGTGAACAACTCCTTCTGGAGGTCAGCTGTGTTGCTGTTTGTCGCATGACCACATTTGACATGTGTACCAAAAGCTCCGCTGCCGCCACCTGTCAGGTGTTGCCATAGCAACCACATTTTGTGCACGAGTACCCCTTCGGTTTGACAGCTCACTTATTTGGGGGAAAACCTGCGCGTCTGTTTCAAGGCATAACCAGCAGCCACACAGTTCCTCTAGGCTCCACACGTGCATTTTGCGAGTCAATCGGTAGTCACACGTGCTTTTCTTTTTTTTGTTTCATCAACAGTACCTTTAAATAAAGATAAATTAAGTGTTTGTGGAAAGGGGCGAATGTCTGATATATTGCTGATGCAATAGGTGTCCTTCTATTTTAATGGTTACCAGACGTCTACCAGAAACACTCACTCATAAGCTGCAGGCTTGAGCCGAAGAAGCTATTTTACAGCGGCAGAATACTTGACAGGAAAGTGCTGTTGTGAAAGCAGTGATTCAAAGGGCGCGTTATACTGTAGGTTTCCATTAAATTCTAGAAATGAGGCAGCTTTGTCGAACCAACTCATTCAAAAGAGCCATAATCTTAGTTTTAATCAATTGTGGCATGAAAGAGTGCTTTATTTATAGAGCACTTTTATCAGTCACAAAGCATCTAGTTGTATTTCATCACTCCTCAGCAGAGGCCCTTTGCAGGCAAAGGACTGCATTTTCTTTTTAATTTTAATTTTCTCGGGTGTATGAAAAGAAATACTATCACAATAGCCCAGAGAAAAGCTACTTTTCATCACACCTTTGCACATCAACCTTGCATTTCAAAGGCATATGGTGATACACAACATTAACTAGTAACACTTCAGCATAACCTCTTCATCTTTTACTATATCTTACATAATTTCACCTCCAGCACCTCTAGCACCTATACATTTACATGGCTGTATGGTGTAAGATTAAAAATGTATTAGTCTGACAGCAGGATTCGCACTGTAGCCAATTTTCTATGGGTGACAGTACACTATGTATGGATTCTTTTAGTTTTCCCTCCATATTTTACAAGAGTCTGTAGCACTAAGGTTACATTTCATCACCTTCTTAAAATAATGGCCTAAGTAATTTTTTGCTAAAAGCAATTTTCTTGCCTAAGTTATCTTGAGGCAATGAAAAGGGGGTGGTTTGTTTTGCCAAAATGACTTTTAGCAAAAAATTACATAGCCCATTATTTGAGGAAGATGACCATTTGTGAGCCATGAATATTAAGTTTTCAGTCCATGCAATATGCCAGGTCGAAGAATTAAGATCTATCTTGCAACTATCTTGCAGTGTTGCTTCTCACAAAAACCATATGGACCAGAGCAGAATAAGACGTATTCACCTTGATGTTGAAATGACATCTAACCTTTCTATTCAGTTTTCTAGCACGTTTTCTGCAAAGAGATCCAAGCTGACGGCCACCGACACAACACATCATATGTGCTGCTGAAGCTCAACAACAAAACTCAATTCAAGTCTACCTGATGTTTGCTCTCATAGTATCTAAAATATGACAAATTTTAAATCATTGGGATGCAGCTAAGAAGGCTAACATGTCAAAATGTACAAATCCCGCCTTTGTCCCAGCCATTCATCCCTCTCCCCTTCTTCCCACATTTTACAAGAAAGAAACGGATGAGGGAAAGATGGGGATGGGAATTGTTAGATGGATTAGCGTGGTGTCTGCAGTTATGCAAGCCCTGTTCTGTCCTGTTGTGGTGAAGAAAGAGCTAAGCCAAAAGGTGAAGCTCTCAATTCTCCGGCCAACCTACATCTCCACCTTCATTTATGGTCACAAGTTCTGAGTAGTGACGCTAAGAGTGAGGCCGTGGATACAAGCGGCCGAAATGAGCTTCCTCTACATGGTATCCAGGCTCTCTTTTAAAGACAGGGTGGGGAGCTTGGATATTCGAGAGCGACTCAGAGTAGAGACACCAAGAAGAGCCAGTAGAGGCGGCTTGGGTATCTGGTCAGGATGCATCCTGGACACCCCGCTGGTTTGAGGGGCTCCTGCCACCTCCCCCCAGGAGGACATCCACAGGAAGACCTAGGGTACTCTGGAGGGACTATGTTTCTCAGCTGACCTGGGAAGGTCTTGGGATTTTCCCGGAGGAGCTGCCCCAAATTACTGGGGACAGTGAAGACTGGACTTCTCTGCTTAGGCTGCTGCTCCTCGGACCCAATCCTGGATTAAGTGAAACGTAATAGATGGATGGATGGAAAATCTAGATTTTCATCTGAACCTTATTCTCCTTCTTAAACAGCCAGCATGTTTAGTTTGGGTGCTTCGTCTCACCATTAGCGACCTTTCCTCAGTTCTCAAAGTATCGTTCTCACAAAGCACCTGGCCTCCTTGGCCTCGTCTCCAACACACTTTGTACTTGCTAATTGATAGGAAACTCAGACACATTCATCTCTAACGCCCATCTCAGTAAATTGGTAGTGTCTTGGCTAGTTCCTATTATCCTTTTATCTTAATCGCCACAGCTGCGGCTTGACCCTATCAGACCCTCTGCTCGAACTCACACCTGCTTTCACGAATTTAATTGGTACAGCTTTGTAAACTGCTCCGCAAGGAACTTACTCCACAGTCACCTCCTTTCATTTTGATCTTTAAATTATCCAAAACCAAACTTACATTTGACATTTGTTGAGGCCCCAGCTGGGTCGTTGAAGGTTCACGACCGACTCTTGCGGGTTTAGAGGAAGCCTAAATCAGTGGTTCCCAAATGTGCCGTTCTGCTTCTGTTCCACAGATGACAGTAGAAAATACTGGTTACCCCCGCTCTTTGTTGACTCTATAATTAGTAAGTAGATGGTACAATTTCCATATAAGAAAACATGAACAGCCTAAGTATTGGTTACTTTTATCTATTATGGGATAATTTTAATTAAAAATATAATCTACAGACAAGTTAACATTTACCAATAACTATTTTTTTTAATGTAATTTAATGTAATTTCTGAAGAGGTTTTCTAGATCCCATACTCATTAATTTGTGACCCCAAACTTTGCGTGCCTAGGTTGTTTCCAGATAAAAGACTTCTTGCTGTCTTTTATTTTGAGTTTTCTCCACCTCCTCTGTGAATACTTCATGCGTTGTTTATTCATTACTGCTTCAGAGGACATTTTTAACATCCCCCTGTTGGCAATGCTACTGTACCTATCTGTTACAGAGCATCGCATGTCTTGAATTTTATAGTGATGCTATAAATATCTGCTACTGTTAGGCCATCTACTATAACAGTCGCCGAAGGTTGACTTCAGGAATGAAATCTGCTGTCCAACTGCCTCAAAATTACCATCAATACCTTCACATCCTGGGCCTATAAAAATACTTTTGGAATGACAACTGCTGGATTGCTCTTTGTATCATGGACTTTACTTTGGCGTTGCACCTTCATGACACTCCTGCAATGTATTTCCATGCTACAATGATGTAGGTTAATGTTCTCTTCTGTTGCAACACAGAATAAACTTCAACTACACATAAATATTCTGTGTTCATGTCTTGCAGGCAAGAAGAACTCAATCCTGATGCACAAAGTTCAGCACGATCTCAACTCCGGTGTTTTCAACAACCATGAGAATGAGATGATTCAGGAGATAGTCAAATATGATCGGGAGATGGTTCAGCAAGTGGATGTGCCACTGCCAAGGGCGATGTCCATGACCCCTCCGCTCCCCGGCGGGATCTTTGCTCCTCCTGGCTCCTCCGCTCAGCCTAGAGACTCGGCAATCGCCACCCTGCAGCAAGCCGTGGCGATGAATTTTTGTAACCCCATGCAAGGAAACTCAGTAGGAGCAGGGCCCTTGCAGTCTCCTAGGATGGTGAGGAGATTCCAGGTGATGCCGAGTGTATCCAGCCCGGTCTCTGCTTCTCCGCTCCAGTCGCAACTCCTTGCCTCCGGTGCCTTTGCTCCAGTCTTGGCCAGCCCCACCGTTCAGAGTCCACTGGCTGCTGGAGGACGATCATTCCAGTATGGATCCAGTGCGCTGACCGGTCCGATATCAGGCTCCCAGCTATCTCTAGTTCAGCAGCATATCGCCAGTCCTGTACACCGGCCCAGCATGCATAAGAGCACCCATTCTTTGCACCTGGGCAGCCTGAGCCAAGATGTCAGGGCCCTGTCAGCATCTCAGCCCTCACTGCCTCATGAGGGGGTGCAACCAGCTGTCCCCAGTCCACCCCAGTCAATACAAGTTTCTTCCACTTCTATCGGACCCCCTCAGACGCCAATGGGCCCCGCAAGCATTCGGAGTGCAGTACCTCAAAGGGTGGTACTACCCCACCAAATGTCAGTGGGGGCCTTCCCCGTAGCATCTTTGCCTGGTTCTGCACATGGGTTTGCAGCAGGGGTGGCAATGGGTAGCGTGGGAACAGGTCAGGGGGACACGCTACCGCCTAAAAAGGACTCAATAACGAGCCTTCCAGAGACAGACCACATGAAGGTGAGATCTAGGCTATCCTCAAACTTGTGATCTTAATCATACTATACTAGGAGGAGTGACTGAACAAGGAACACGATCACAGGAACACGTTCCTCTTCTTTTTCCAAGTTTGACTATCTGAATGTATGAATGTTGAGCGAGCTGGTAGCATCCAAAATATATGAATCTAATGACGTTTGATTCTACAACACAGAGATGTTTCTACTCACAGGTGTAGTTGCACAGATAAGTAAAACTAAAGTAGCATATTTCACAGCATAGCTAACAATATATTCTTCAGTGTCCTCCCATTCTCCTCTTACGATATAAACCTGAGGTCAGATGGTTTAAAACTGTTATTCAGGGAACTGCTTTAGACATCAGACATTGGAACTTAATTTGTGATTATTTACTGTAACTTCGTAATGTGCCAGAGCTCCTTTTAAACTGTTAGACTTTTTTGCTTCATTGTCCCTTTCAAGATATCTTTATCGACTTTTTGGGAAGCACAAATAATAACAACAACAAAAAAGAGACAATTTTTTGACTACCTTACGACAACGGTAAAAGCCATACTTCAGATAAAATATTATGATTGGACTGCTGACAGTATTAAGAAAATTATAATTTTACCGGCATTTCGACTAGCAGTGAAAATGTAATGCACAAAAAACCCCAAGATTCTTAAAAGGATAGTTTGGTTTTCAGTAGACAGCAATCAGAGCAAATTCAGATTGAAGAAGTAACCATACACAGAAAGAACTGATCCTTTGGCTTCATTCACACCAGACTGAGACTGGCTTATGGCCTCCAGACCCTACATGACTGTTAGAAGGTTGCTGAGTCAGGTAAAATCTCCATTTCAGTAGGCAGTGATAATCCTGCTGTGCCTTTAGTACTCATCAAATATGATTTTTTTTTACATTGTTTTCTTGCAAACTTACAGCCACAGGTGTCACATCTTCTCTGAGTTTCTTATCAGTCTATAAAATTAGTACATACATATTTGACACCATCGGTTTCAGTCTTACTATGGTTTTCTGAATCCTTTGTATCCCGAGTAATAATGCTAACTGGGTCCAACACTGTACAGACTGGCAAGTCTCTGGTGTGAGCTTAGTCTGGAGTGAAGGGAACCTTACCGAGACAGAAAGTAAATCATAGATTTTGTTAATTGATAGGATGTTATCACAAGGTATAATCGTTATGATAAGGTAAAGACTACTCTTAAACTCTTCACGTAACCCCACTATGAAAGAACCAAACTATTCAGTTAAGATCATGAGGGATGTTATAATCCATACTGAAACTACAGTGGTGGGATAAATGTGTGTGTTTTTTTTTTTTTTTTTTCAAAAATAATTGATTTGTGCTCTAGTTATCCCCATGTTTGTTCACTTTAGAGTTCATAAATCTAAAGAGGTTGAGTTTTCAACCCTACATCACTATGCACCTTTCTGTTTTGTTTTTGAAGAAACATTTACTGGGTCAACAACACCCTTTCAACCACATGGAAGTCCTACTAGCAGCCAAAAATGTTACAGTAAATTATGCAAAGTTCGACAATTTGCTCATCAATATTGTTTTTTTTTTAAAATAATCAAATATATATATATAAATCTGTAACTTACTAGCCATGGCCAGAAAAAGGTTATCGACAACAAAGAAACATGCTTATATCTGTTGGATGTATCCAAAAAGTTTAATATACAAAGTTTGCTTCGGTCCTCTGCACTGACTAATCGGACTCAAATGCATCCCAGGAAGCAGTTCGTATTGCCCAGACTTGAACTGTGATTCACTGCCAGTTACAAACTAGAAACTTATTACAAGTTTAATCGTAAACCAGGACCCCTATCATTGCAATGTAAATTCATTCTTTTCTAATACTGAGTTTTCACTTGCCTTTAGTGGCCGTTTAGGCGATGCATCTCTATGCCAAAGTCAATTCTCACAAATAATGAATCTCCTGTTACCGCCACAATTTAGATAAACAGCCAAGGACAGCGCTGATCCCTCGCAGGACGTATATTGCAGTGTGCCTCTGTCATTGATGCCTCAGCAAGAAATCATCGAATGCCACTGATTTGTGTCCAAAAGCGTTAGGAAGAAGACCCTTTTCTCCTGGACCTGACATGCTATTCACCTCAGCTCACGATTGGCTGAATCATTACAGGGTAATGAGAGTGGAAAATGGAATCCCTCAGGCCTGTTTGGGTCCGTTATTATCATCCTTCAGCTGGATTTTATTATACTGTGCCAATAATGAGTTCCTCTCCTATGATCATTTTGCATTTGCATCCTGTTTAGTCTGCGTTCTTGCACAGTCATCCACCTTGGGAGTTTCAAATTGGACAAAAAAAGTTGACGGTTTTAAAGTATTTTTATATAGTTTTTTTTTTTTTTAAGATCTATTGTGTTGTTTTTGTCTTGTGATTAAATTATGCCCACAGGAACTCATTTGGGTACTCCAAGGTAATTAATACAGGCTTGTTATGAGAATTGTGCTTATTTTACACTGTGTCCAGGATGCATGGTCCTGGGATAGAAGACGCAGTTAGTGACCAAATTAGTTTTGGACCCAAGAGCAATGGTGCAGGGAAAAAGAAACTAAAACATGACTTACCATATAACAATAACAGTTCATGTATACATTCACTGAGCACCTTTTTGGGCACATCTGTTCAGTTGCTTGCTCACACAAATAAGTTAGGAAAAGACTTGGCAGCATTTCAGTGCTGTTAGGAATCTAGTTGACTTTCAACACGACTTGAGTTCAAACCAATAACCTGCAAAGGGGAGGGAAGATGGTTTAAATAACTTTGGATTTACCATAGATTTTGGTGCCAGATGGGACAGAAACTGATGATCTACAGGGACTTTCACTCACAACTATCTTTGGGATTTCCAGTGAATAGTCTAGTTGTGTAGAAGGAATTCAACTTTTAAGGTTGCAACTGGTGCGTATGTTTTCTTGGCACATTTTGGACAATTTAGTGCTAATTGAGCATTGTTAAACACAACAATCCCCCTGAGCAGGACCACCTCTTTCCCTTATGGCCACAGTGTAGCCATCTTCCAGAAGGAACTGTACCGTGTCATAAAGCTCAATCTCAAACTAATTTCTTAGACTCTCTTCACAGTGGTGAACTCATTTGAGATATGGTGGATTGTCGAAATTTTAACTAAGGATGTCCAGCCAACAAATCTGCAGCAACTTTTGATCTGTCATTCCTAGAACTAGCCTGGTGTGCCTAATAAAGTGGGCAGTGAATGTAAATTCAGAGAACCATCACAAAGCTCCAGATATTGTATGAATTTTTTATTTTTTGGGCCAATAAAAAAACAGTAATTTTCATGAAACCCATCAGTTTAGAATTAAACCAAAGCTACAGATGATGCAGCTTTTGTTACACAAAACTCGCCCAACGCAGGTCAGATATCAGACCACTAAACGAATCCAGTCGATTCCTATGAATGTGACATTTGTGACTACAAGCAATAATGGTCTAATAGCAGACTGAGTGGCAACCTTATGCAGATGATACTCAATTATACTCTTGATTTGTCTGTGGAGATGTAACATTTTAAACCTTACACTGGTTTTTGAAACTTTACTGAAAACTTTGTGTTCGATGTTTCTTTTTGTAAGCAGATAATTCAGTTGAAACCACCATCCTTACTATGAATAACTTGACTGACATGGTTATTTCTATGTGTAAACATAGCTTGCATCATGTAAACGAGACTATTTATTTATGTAACCTGGTTCACTATTATTGTAGACCTATTAAAAAAAGGACATGTTGAAATAATTATTGTTTTTCTCTGACAGAAAGCATATTATGATCTGGACTGAACTGACCAATCTTAAGAATTAAAGCAAAAGAAAACGAGTTGACATGACAAAAGATGTATAACTTTGTTTTCTATACTTGTTTGCAGTACCACCAGGAGTTTCTGTAAAAGTTGTTCATCTGTCTGGTTTCCAGGTCGGTTTAGAAACTTGGCACACTGGCTCTCGGATTTTCCTCCAAAATTTTGGAAAAGTTTTGTTCAGTTTCCTTTTTCCTCTTTTTGCGACTTTGCAAACATATTTAGTGTTATATAAATGTTACAGAAACTCACTGACCCACAAGGCGTCAGTGAAGATAGCATCTGTGTCATGCACATTTTCACACATGGCTGCAGTAGCGTTTTGACATCTGCATTTGCAAAACTGTGGACTTTGTTGCATGATTCTGATTATTTCTTTAAAAAAAAACCTCATAAATTCCAATTTTTGCCTTTAAAATATTAATATAAACTTTTCCATCTATTTTGATTTTTTATGATCATCAGTGAACACTGAATTCCTCATATTGACCAATAACATAAATACATAATTATTCAAAATCAAACTTTATGTACCTAAATCTCTGTGACATCCCTGCTTTCTTTATGCATTTTGCAGAGCAGAGTTGTAACTCTCCTCAAATGAAATTGCAATACCTCTCAGCAAAATATCGATTCACCTATTATAAATCCAATAATAAAACTAATCAATATTGCATTGCTACAAACAAAAGCCTTGGTGAAATAAGTCAATAGCAGGGAATATTTTTGACTTTAACCCCAGCTTTTCTTTTTTCCATATGTTTTTTTTTAATTCTGTCAATCACAGAAATGTAAACAAATGAGTTGCATTTGAATATTTTACTTTCCTCTTCAGTTATTACTTTTTGGCTATCATGTATTAAATAAAAGCACTGAAGCTTAATTTGGCTTACTAACGGAAGCAAAATTTCCAGTGAGAGCGCTGCATGGTGAATGCCTTTTGCTTTTTGACAGTCATGATGTTATTGCTTCACTTCCACAACCAGAATTTAATATCTGCTTCTTCAATCTATTAAACCAGCACTTCTTCGTGTTGGAATAACATCTGTCACGGTGAAATACCGCCTTTATTACATTTTAAGTTTCAAATGCCATACAAAAAATAATGTAATGTTTGTCCATCCATTTAGGCCATTTTACGTCATCTGTCTTGGCCCCATCCTGCTACTTGGAAATATCAATAATTTACGAGGAACCTATTCTGCCTTCCTGACAGTGATGGTTGTATCGACTACACTTTCTTCTGCCTCTCTGGTTACACATTAGTCTTAACATGCAACTATGCGTGAATCTGTGTTGAGGCAGAGGTTCAGCAGAGTCATCTCAAAAACGATGAAATGCACGGGGACGTTAAAGGGATATTCAATATTTTGGTGGGTGGTATGCAGTTCAGAGCGTTTTAGGAGTAGACAACTTCTCTCTGAATCTTCTTCTTGTGGTAACACAGGTTTTGATAAGATGCAAAAGTCAGCTGCTTGTTGGGCCAAGACAAAGACAAAATTCACAGTCACATTGTCTTAAGATTTCACTGCTTGGTCAGTGATCTGTAACAAAACAAAACAAAAAAAAAACTTTTCACTTGAATAATGCAGTGAATAAGTTTAACAGGTGCAGCTGTTTGTAACTTATCAGAATCAGCTTTACACAACACAAACAAGGCCTCGCTTTTGATTTGTTTAGTTGACAAAGTCGATCATGTGAGAAGGGTAACCTGGTGTCGGTTGAAGTCATTGAAGCGTCGCTCTACCAGCTGTGCGTTGGATGGTTGTTAATCAAGGCATCACTACCTGTCAGTCAGAATAAAGGTCAGAGCAGCTCACACTGATGTACACAAACGCACACCTGCCAACACTGCATCACCTGTCTCTGTTTCCCCACTGCGCTGGCTCCTGCTTCCTCTCCCCTGCCGTCGGAGAGCTCTGGCCCAGTTCTCCCCCCTCCAGGTCTGTCTGCACACTCCGCCCCCCCCCCCCCCCCACTCACACACTCCCACACTCCCACACACACACACACACACACACACACACACACACCCATCCATGCAAGTGCTGCTGAGTGCAGGGCTCTCTCGACACCACGGGGCAGCAGATAGGCCGGGAGAGCCCAGGAGCCTGGCAGGAGAATCAAAGTCCCCTCGGTGAGAGTGAGTGGTGCGGCTATCGCAGAGTGGCTTCCAGCTCTGACATGTCTGGCAGATAGCAGCTAACACTTGCATAGTGTGTTCACTTTCTGATGGTGCTGCTGCTGGAAAAAAAAAAAAGAGCTTCCCGAAAGCCCCACACATAACGCTGCTTTCTGCTGCGAGACAATACCGCTCTGCAGTGGAGGCAGGCGAGCGCTGAGTGAGTGACACAAGATGCCTTCGCAAAGGGTGATGGTAAAAAAAAAAAAAAAAGTATTTGGGCTCTTAAGGGTGAGTTATTGCCGCGCTTTTGAAAGTTTGTGTTGAGCGCGCGTGAGCCAGCAAGAGACGTGTCGTTTTTCATAGTTGACGCGAACTTTGGTGCCGTGTTCTCTGAAAACGAGCCTCCACATAGGGATAATATTTAGTTCGAGTGAAAGGTGGGGCGCACAATCTTGGCTGAATTATAAAGATTCAGATTCGCACAATTAGTGCGCGACAGTGACAGTGCGCGAGGCCGACGCGTTTGGCGCGCGCCCCATCGCACCTGCCTCTATGCGTTAACAGTTGGGTGAATATGAAATACTGTTTTCAAAGGATCACTTTATATATTGAGGGGAAAGCCTGTACCAACAAACCAGGCCCATTGTGGAAGAAATATATATAAATATTTGCACCTGAATCTAAACTGCATGTGCTACACTTAGCATCAGTAAATGCCACTGAGCATTGAGCATTAATTTGAAATAACTACGAATGACTTTTAGATCACAGTTAAGCAATTTTGACCCCATTTTTTTTGCAGAATTGTTTTAAATTAATCACGTTGAAGGGCGTGCCACATGATCTAAGCCACTTCAAAATCCTCATTTTGATTTTTTGCGTTATTCAGAGGTGGACTTGCTGGTGTGGTTTTGAGCACAGTATCGCTGCAAAACCCAAGTGTTCTTGAGAATAAGGTTATGAACTGATTGCAAGCGAGTCACCGTCGGGATTTTCTCGCAAAGAGGAAAATTCGTCAATCCATCGGGTCGTTTTGGTCCAGTAAAGCACGCCAGATCATCACATCATCTTTTCTGACAGTCGGCATGTTGGTGTGTTTGACACCAAATGTGACCAGGATCACACCTTCCAAAAGGGTTCGCTTTTGTCTCGTCTGTCCACAGAATATTTTACTTAAAGTCTTGAGAGTCAAAGACTTTTTTTCGGGGGTTGAGGTGTAAGATGGGACTTTGAGTTCTTTTCAGCCAGCGGTGATTTTTGCCTTGGAACTCACCCATGGATGCCCAGTGTCTTTCTAATTATTGAATCACGAACATAACTGGAGTGAGGCCTGCATTGTCTTACATGTCCGTCCTGGATTGAATATTTCTTGGAGATATTTTGAGAGATTGGAAAGGTGCAGCACTTCTCCATGTTTTCTCTATTTGTTGAAAACAATTGTCACTGTGGTTCCCTGTATCCTCAAAGCTTTAGAAATGGCTTTGTTGCCATTTTCAGACTTCTAGATGCCAATGACTTTGTTTCTCATCTGTTCTTTTCTATGATCAAGGTGGTGTGTTGCTCTTAAGAACATTTTTACCTGCTTCATGTCAGAAAAGTTCTTTTTGATGAAAAAAAAAAAACTAAGTAAAGGTATTTTTCCTTTACTTTGTTTTTCTAAGTTGTAACTTAGTTATTTCACTCGTCCAATATTTATATTTGCGGTCATGTTTGGTTGGATATTATTGCAGCATGCTTTGAGTGTGAGACAGGGAAACACCATCATCAGGTCCGACGCAGACACTCACACTCCTGACCAATTTAGAGTTCTCCACTTGACTCACATCCAGCTTCATGCCAGCAGAAAGTCGAGCATAGTAACATCAAACAGACACAAAACAGCCTGGCAACTTTCTTCCTATAGGAATGTGTGTCCAAGACGGGCAACAGGTAGAAAAAAATAAATAAAAAAAGTCATCCACTATTTTAAAGAGTGTAAGAGCACCAGAAAGAAGTTGTCGCTTTGTGTCTGAGTCAAACAATGGTATAAAATAACCATTCAATTAAAATAGCTGCCGATTTTTCTTTTTAAAGTACAAAAAAATAATCTGGTATCTTGGAGGTAAATCTCCTTAACTGGAGATATTTTAAATTATCTAAAGACTGACCAAAGTTTTGGCCAGAAAGTCCAGCATTTATAGGCATGTCAGAAAAAAAAGGCACATTTATTCTTAATTGGATTGTTATGTGTACTGATAATAGATAAAACATGTCTAAGTGTGGAATTAATTTGTCACCCAATAAGAGTATTCAAATTAAAGGGTAGAATTTAAATTTCCAGAATAAAATTGCCACTACAATAAAGCAAAGGTAAAATATGCATTGAACAAGTTATTCAAAGCCCTAAACTTTAAATCAGTTAATATAATTAAAAAAGTAAAGCTCACATTTCAGTCATAAAAATTGACATGCATATTTTTTAAATACTCTTATTCGAATAAAGATCATTAGGCTGCGTTCTCCTGAAGTCTCATGGCCCGTCAAGCTGAACCGTAGCTGCACTTCGCTCCAGAGTTTCCCCTCAGCCGAGCCGCTGCAGCCTCAACCAAACACCACCGACTCCCAGCAAAAGCCAGATGTGCTGCTTTCACACCTGACCTCTTCTTTCACACCATCCTGCTCCTGCTTCAGCTATTTAAAGTACTGCAGCAGGTTTTTCAGCTGATTGACAGTCGCCAGTTAACTTTCCGTCACGTGTGAGCTACATTAAGACCCCAGCGTCCCTGCATCCATCCAGGAGTGCAGTTAGAGCGTTGAGGTCATGCCACGGTATGAAATGTGATGCACGTTGTGGTCCTGAAAGCACATCGCGGGAGAGAGGTCAGACCTTGAAAGTTAGCTGAGAAAAGAGGCGTGCAGAGCAGAAGACCTTGGTTTATTATGGCATCAAAATAATTTATTTGTTCATTAAGGCAAAAAAGAAGGGAAGTAAACTGAGGATACAAAAGCACTGACTCTCCTTTTAAGATATATCGAGGTAACTGCAGTCTTTTTTGTGAGGTTATTGTTCATTTAATTAACGTTATCTAAACTTTTCAGATTAATACTGTGACACGACGTGTAAATCAGTGCAGTACGTTGTAACAGTATTCCCCCATCTTGAACTTCCCCCCACTTTGTCACGCTACAACGTAATTGTAATTATCTGTTACCATGTTTGCCTAAAGTGATGGTGATTGTTTTCTGCCACACAGCATTTTGCAACTCGTCGCAGTTGATTTCACCAAAATGAAAGGCACGCTTTTTTAGATTTTTATTTATAAATAATTTGGAACCTATATCACAGGAAGTCCTAATAAAAATTGAAGCTTGTGGTCATAAGGTGACAAAACATTTAAAAAAAAAAAAAAAAAAAAAGTTTAGAGGTTATTCATGTCTGCATGCTTGCAGTTAACAACTGTCACCCCGTTTTTGCCAACTCAGCGACTTTCTTGGTATACTTAGCAACATTTTTTTTTAAAGATTTAGCGATTGGCCAGAGAACGGCAATCGGCGCCACCTTAAGTTCCAGTCTTATTTATTCCAGAGGAACCAAAAATAGTACGGTGCTTGAAGTTACTAAACCCTATCAAACACCAGCATCAGGCAAAAGAAAAGGCAGCTCAGGGCATATATCACTGTTAACTCAATCCAGCAGGTGAGGCGACAGATTATTTGGACCAGAATAAAAAAAAAAACAAAAAAAAAACAACTGATCAAAGTCAAATCCCATGTGCATCATGAAATATGAAGAGCCTCTCTGCAAGCACGCTGCCATGCAAATTTGACAAAAAAAAAAAAAAGCCCTCCACAGTGTAATCAACACACTCCAAGATCATTTCCATTTCATTACATTGTCACAGGAGCCGGCTTTCTTTGGCGGCGCGGCCGCCTTCTCCTTTGAACGCCAGCAGCACCTTTTGTCTGAGAGTGCTGTAACGTTTGCAGTAATAATTAGATAAGCACTCTAGCTATTTTTACATCCAGATATGGTTCTGGCCCAGAGAAATAACATCTGAGTTGATTAGTGATGCCTTGAAAGCCTTTGTGGCGCATCACAAAAAAGGGGAGGCCTTCATCTCTCACAGCGATATTTAAATATATTACTAAATATCTCTCATTCATCCTGCTAAAAGGACAGAACAAACATCAGCCTTCTTTTGAGTCGAATAAATGACAGGAGATTTTAGAAAACACATTTATTTAAAAAAGCTCAGTTCTCCAGGGTAAGAACCAAGATCAGTTTAACCTTAGAAAAAGAAAAAAAACAAATCTTTTTTGTTTCCTGCTTTTTAGAGCTCACTGGTGGTCTTTACGGCATCTCACACACATACAAACTCTTAGACCGCTAATCAGCTCCCATTACAGTCAGTAAGAAAGTTTTCTTGTCAGTGTGATTGAGCAACAGAAGTGTTTCTGACTTGCGGACGAAAAGACGCAGCTCACAGTCGATTCAAGTTTGGCAAATAAGCACAAATACGTACCTAAATACACATCTGACAAACGAGGTATTTTTCTTTCGCCACCGATGCCGATTCCCTCATTTTTTTCTCCTTGATGCGCGTCCCGCCCAGCTTCTCCAGCAGTCGGAAAGCCAGTTAATCACGGTGTGTGTGTGTGTGTGTGAGTGTGAGAGAGAGAGAGAGAGAGCGAGAGAGCGAGAGAGCGCGCGCGCCTCCGGTAGCAGTTTGTGGGCCAGGAAGGCAGGCAGGGCGCGGCTAGATCAATGTCCTCATGTCTGCGAGAGAGACACAGCCTGTTGAGACTCCCGGGCCAGCAGCAGCCTCCCTGCTGCACTCTGTCAATTCCACTCATCTCTTTAAGCCCGCTTCGCCCTCGCGGGCCTCTCAGCTGAAGAAGTAAGTGGACTCTTTCACCCGCTGCAGATCAAAATCACCTGGAGAGACAAGAGGCCACGTCAGAGCAGGTTCGAGTCGGCGGGCAGATGTTGCAGACCCGAAATTATGTACGCGGTGCCACATTCCTCCTGCTAACAAATAATCGGTATGAATAACGTCACGTTTTGCTGTGACCTTGTCCTGCGACTCACTCGGACGTGGAAAGTGTCTAAACGTGAAGGAATGCACCGGTACTTTGTGTCTACAGAACCAATCAGAAATTGGGATCTTGGCTACTTTCAAAAACAAAATATGTTCCAACTTTCTTGTTGAACCAGTAAAACATACCAAAGGTCACAAAGTATTGTTCCATCAAAGGGATTCCCACTGAGCTAGCTGAAGATAATCACCTTGAAGGAAGACTCTCAGATCACAGGCCTGATAATTCTTGATTTAATTATAATTGAACACACACCCTGCCCGTTCCGCTGCCAGGGTCAAGACTAAGGAATGGACTGTGCAAAAGAATCCAAAGTCAGAGAAAAAACTTGATCAAGTTCACTTTAAAAACCTGCCAAGCAACATATATAAAACTAACAGCTGGCTTAAAGCACTTTGCAAACAATGCATTTATGATGTTGTTAAATATTGCAATTATACTAACCCGTATTTCTGCACTGTTTCTGTTCCATCATCACAGTGTTTGTGAACTTTAGCCAATAAAATGTACATGAATTGCGGGAATCAAAGGCGGTTAGAGTCAGCCAGTAGAGTTTGAAATACAATTGGCAATTAAATACTGAATCCCTGTATTTAATTGCCAATTAAATACAATACGCACTCCCTGTGTATTTTGCAGGGAGTCTTTAGTAATCATATTAAATAATATGACCAACTATCAATCCGTTATTTACACAACACAACATGACTGACATCGATTAGAGAAACAAAAACATCTGTCAAAAAAGTTGCGTTTTTTTGTTGTTTTTTTTGTCACATGTGAAACAATTTTAATTAAAACATTAGTTTCAGGTCTTAGTGAAAAGCTGAACTTTTCCTCTGAACTCTGATAAAGAATCTAAATGCTAATTTTAGCTCCACATGAACTCCTGTCCTGCTCTGTGTGCTTTGCCTGGTTTGCTCTCTGACAGCTGCGTTCACCACCGGGAGCTGCAGCGTGAATTATTGAGGAACCAACATTAAAAAGTGAAGACTGAAATGACTGAACAGAACGGTGACACGGGTGCTTTAAAGTACAAACTCGCCTATGACCTGTGTGCGTTGCCGCAGCCACGCTACGTCGTATTGATATTCTATAAACCAGAAAACTGCTTCGGTTTGGTAACGCGAAGCTGCATAATTTACCTTCCCAACAGGGAAATCCAAACGACGGCTGACTGCACAAAGTGTTTTTGTAATTACTTTCGATCTTATGTTGCGCCACCGTCGAGGACTCGCCGTCACCGTATAACGGCCGGCGATTAAATCAAACAACGCTGTTGTGTTTAGATTGAGAGGAGAAAGTGTAGCCAATTATGGAAAACATATTAGGTCATTAGCCTTCTGCTAATAGCATTCACAAAAAAAAAAAAAAAAAAAAAAAACATTTTATTTTTTCATTTCATCATGTCACTACAACAAACTTTAATGTGTTGTATTAGTTAATCGGGAGGTAAACCGATAAAAAGCAACGATTAAGCAAAAGACAAAGGGACCTCGATTCTATAAATGTTTTCAAAATAAAAATCTGATAAGTGTTATGGTGGTGGCAGCATGATGCTGTGGTGACGCATTCTTCAGCAGAGACAAGTTAGGTTGGTTAGATAGTTGGGGGGGGGAAATACAAGCGATTCAGGTGGATCGCATAAAATCCAAATAAAATTCACATTAGTTTGAGGTTGCAATGTGGAAAAAACATGAAGAAGTTGAAAGGATTTAAATAGCTTCACTCCACCCACCAATCTGATCCTCTAGATTCCTCACAGAAACCAAGTTGCTCCCTCGTTCTAACAAATTCAGATCCCTAAATACGATAATAAATTTCAATCTGAATTCATTGACTCTGTTGTGGAAAAGTCATACACACACACACAAACACGTGTGTGCGCGATGAGGTAAACACCTGACCCGTCTCAGCAACATAAGCTGATTATGCAAGAGAGGGACACAATTAACAATAATCGATTTATACAATCCCGCTGTCAGTGCCAAGCAAACTGAAGGTACAGATGGAGACAGAGAGACGGGGGTTGTGTAACAGGAAAAGCCTGAATCCACCTCAATGACAGGAAGGTGCTGCCCTAGACAAAACCCAATGGCATCAAAGGAGAAAGATAAAAAAAAAAAACAGAAGTGTCTGCCATCAAACCAAATTTGGCTGTATTTGCTATAAAAAGGAAAAAAGAAAAACGAGAAGAAAAAAACCGTTTGGAGAAATCGCCCCGGATTGAATTGCGGTTCAACTCACAAACATCTTCAGAGGATAAATATGCAGCCATTTTTTTTTTTTTACCATATAAGTGAGAGAAAAAAAAGAGTAAAAGATAGGATCCCGTTTGTTTCGGATCCCCCTTTAACCGGCTCCTTTGAGGAGCCAGTTGTTTCTCCGACACTGACCTGTCTGGGGCACTTTGGCCAGCAGCAACATCAACCTCCTGTACTCCTGGTACTTCTTGTTCTTGGCTTCACTCCTGTCAGGAAAGGAGAGGATGAAGAAGAAGATGAAAAAAAAAATGAGACCTGAGAACAAACAGACAAATGCGTTTGTGTATTAAAAGGAAGTTTGAGACCCGTTTCGGATGTTATCAGTGCTGCTGTTTGATGAGTGAGAAACTCAGGTCCGGGTGAAACATTTACAGCTGCCAGCAAAATACAAGCCGTATGCATTTTCTATTAAAAACAAAACTTTATTTTTCTAAAGTTAAACTGCTTACAGACTGCTACAACCTTTAAGCGTACAAGTGCATGTCCGTAATTTGCACTACCATCAAAAAGCAGATTTATTTAAATAGCTCCATTCAAAAAGTGAAACATAGTAAATTTACGGAAAAACTCAGCTCACACCTTTCCATTCACCAACAAATCTCTTAAATGGGCTTTGCTTCAAGGCTGGCTATAACCTCCCTTATCGATTTTTCTTTTTTTTTTTTTATGCAACAGTTTTTCTTCCACTCAACTATCCATTAATAAGCCAGCTTCTACAGGAATGACATTTCATGGCTCGTGCTCCTTATGGAGGTTGTCAGTCTGTTATAGTAGGCGATAAAAGAAAATTTCTGTATTAAAACATTTTCTAAGGTCAAAAATCAGAAATTGGGTTTTTTATTAATTGTAAATCTTAAACATCAAAATGAAGCCTAAATAAATATGCCAGTTCCACTTTTAAAACCGAATCAGAAGAAAAAAAGATTTTTTTTTGATTATATTGAGATCTCCAAAACACTTTAATGTAATTTTAAAAAGAGTGCTGGAAGGATTTTGTCTACTGCTAAAGATGTACCTAATGTAAGAAAAAAAACAAAAACTGATGAATTCATCTGGTATCTGAAAAACATCAATTTTATGTTGGAAAAAAAAAAAATACAGAAGCTTTGTGTCCTTTTCCTCTGGTGTCTTTCAAAATCTGTCTGTGAAGTTTGGAAACAGCGGCACTGACAGAGTTTAAGGTGAGATTTGTTGTTGCTGATGTGGAGAAGGGCCCAATTACCCCAAAGAGAGAAAACACAGACAGTCGATGACTGTAACCCGGCCTGAGGCCAGTGAGGCTGGCACAAAGAGTGGAAATCGTTTGGGCTCCAATGTCACAGACGACTGGAGGAGAAAGAAAAAAAAAACTCGCTCTCGCCGCCTTTACATGTTCTGTTTTGTTTGTGCGCATTTGCGGTTTAGTGACAGCCATTCGTGAAAGAATAAAATGATCGATGGCATTGATGGTCTCTTGTGTGGGAACAATCCAAAAAAAAAGGAGGAAAAGAAATGAAAACCTGTAAATATATTTTGGTTTTCTTTGCCTGAATGTTATTTCTTTGTACCAATCCGTGGCCACATTGATCCTCAGGAGACTCGCATCTCCTAAGCTTATAAATCAAATGTGTTCCTGTGCAAACTTACTGGATTGTGGAGCAGTATCTGAGCTGCAGGAAGCTGGACAACTCTTGCAGAATCGGCTGGCTGTGCAGGGCGACAAACTGCTCCCGGCAGATCTGACAGGAAGGAGAGGAGAGGAGAGGAGGGGGGAGAAGTTAGTCTCATCTAAGGACTTCATCAGAAAGAAACACAGACCAGCTGAGCAGATAACAGGTGAGCAGAGGTGAGACAGAGCAGAGTGGAAGTGACAACAGGAAAAGTACTGCTCTGTCAACAAAAATAGCAGACTTTTACTCTATGCTGTCTCCACCGTCTATTCCTTAAACACTTTCCCAGAGGTAAATTTCAAAAGTTTGAAATCTCGAGAGAAACAGAAACAGTGAGGACATAGAGGGATGCGTGTGAAAACACAGACAGTCTATGATTATCGCCTGTTATAGCAGCTTATATCTGTTATGTGGTTATGTGATTGGATGCAACCTTTAGGCAATGCGAACAGGAAATGACGTCTGGAAATGCAATTAGTTTTCCTGTTTCAAAGCTTCAAATAGGACGCCAACTTCAGTGTACTGTTGGACGTTGAAGTTAGATTTAAAAAACAAACATGATAAAATGCATCTAAAGGGACACTTGACAATCTGTGCAGCAGAGAGGAGGAGGTATAAACATTCCCATTACTGTGGATGTCTATAGTTCACCCCCAAACGACCCGCCAACACGCAATTCCAATTTAATCCCTGTTTATAACCAAACTACCCCCAAAGAAAAACAGACATTTGAGAAACTCTCAGTGTACCTGAATGATTCATAAGTCAGAATCTCTGCACTGAGGTCAGATTAATAAGCAAACAGCAATATGAGGGCAAGAAAAGCATTTACGTCATTCCTCGAAGAATAAAAACACAGCGTGAGCCGTCTCCTGACCATGCAAAGCCGCCCGCCACCCAATTAAAATCCACAGCTGTGCCCACATCTCCGGAGCCATCAGGGGGGTCTCAGGGAAAAAAATAAATAAATAAAATATTCTATGCATTACTCGCATGATTTATGCAGCAAAAGTCAATTTCCTCATGAATTCTGAATTTTCTCCCCCCCCCGATTGGTCGATCTATCATGCGGTAAATCCCGCTCTCGATTACATCCTGGGCAGGCGGCGCACAGCCCCAAAGTGAGTAAAAGAGGACAGAGAACAGACTGGTTATCATTTAAACAATTGCTTTAGATGATGAAGATATTTGGTGCCCGTCTGCTCTCCGGCTGTGTTCAATTACCTGTGTAACGAGGAAGGCATACCGCCCTCCAATCAAAAGACGGAGAACAAACGAGAGGAACCCGCTTCATCGCCTTTAAACTCCTCAGAGATCAGGCGAAGACAGAAAACCGCGACTCTGCTCTGGAGGCGTCGCTACGGAAAATTGGGGCTTTGGGATAATTTGATCCGTTTTATTCCGCACCGTGTCTCAGTCCGGATCTACTTTCGACACGCAGAGACGGCCAGGTGTTTATTCAGCTCGACAGGCTCGGTTTGCTCCCTGCAGCCTGAAAACGTATGAGCCGGCGACGGCTGGAAGTTTGTATCAGTGGCATCACTTAGCTGAAGTGTCTACGGTAGCAAAAAGGGCCGGTCGCGAATGTGGCACAAATTGATTCCATCGCCTGCATCCTCAGTGTCTTGGTGCTTTAAACAAAAAATAAATAAATAAGCTCACATCTTTCCTCTAACATCAAAGACAACGCTCTGAGTGTTGAATCACTTTTCACCATCTTCAGCTTCAATAAATCCCTCCCCTCCACCCCCCCAAACAAATGCACAGATGAAACATCAACACTGACGAATCCAGATCGGACAGGAGGGGAAGAGCTGTGAGCGGATGATAAGGTTGTGGAAACAGGAGGTGACTGTAACGTAATACCTTGTTCATGGTGTCCACGGTGAGGGCGTGGGTCCAGAAACAGTCGTGAACCGAGACGAATGTCAGGCCGGCACTGAGGAGAAGACGAGAGCAGAGGCGGCGAGGCGTTAGGAAAACGTCTAAAAACCAGCCAGGCATTTTTTTTGTTTTTTAAGGAAAGCCGTAAATGTCAAAAACCAGGCCAACATTTGTTTTACAGTTGCGACCAGAAAACATCTCATCTCTCACAAATCTCTCACGTTAACAAGGCCCGTTTTATGTGCAGCCGCTGCTCTGACGTCATGTTTAATGTTTGCGCAAAAGTGAAAAGCTGCACATGTGAAAGTGAGTTTTGTGAGTAAATGCCAGGATTAGATATTTGTTGTTTAGTTTTTTTCATGTAATGTTTTGAGCAGTAATACCTGTGGCAGTGGAGAGAAGTCAGCATCATGTGCGTGGAGTCCAAAGAGTGGATGAAGTTGGGCGGGAATGCATTCTTCTGTTTTACTGTGTCGGGCCTCCTGAAAAGCCACAGACAACCAAGAGAACTTGATGAAAAACTATTCTGCAGTTCAAACCCGACGTCCAAGGATATCTGAGCTTCATATTCATAAACATATGTCAGCAATTCTCTTTTTGTTGTTTTTTTGTTTTACGAGGTCATACAAGGACAGCGCTCAGTCTTACCCCATGACATTTTACAAGGCTGAGAGCATTTCTCATTCTCGGTTTCAGTCTACTTTGACAAACTCCACATGCCTACTTTTAATAAGTTTATATTTTCCAAGCAGAACCAAAGCAAAATCCCTTGTTTGTGCGCACAAAGTTGGCAAATGAAGCCGATTCTGGTGTTTACAATTATGACGACAGGACAAAAAAAGGCTTCTTTTTCAGGAATCACTCCTAAACAACGGCTCGGCATGTTTTGTAAGGGTGTGATGTTATTGTTTCCGTGGTGACCACACTATTTGCTACACTTGTAATGGTCACATGAGCTTTTTTCGACCTGCTCACGCTGGGCGGTGGAAACATAAATGTACGTCCTTGTCCACACTAGCAGCCAGTGGGTGGAAATGATGATGTTCTATTCACAGCCCAGGCAAACAAAAAGACATAGACTGATGACAGAAATGGGGAGTAAAGCATAAAGATGAAAAATGATTCGGTTGCAGTTATTTTATTGGGGATTTTGGTATAAATAATTGGGATTTTGTAAAAAAAAAAAAAAAAAGACCTTTTCTTATCACAGGACTTTTAAAAATAAATGGAATCAAATGAACGGCTGAGCGTTTTCAATGTGAAACTATATGATTGTATTGCAAGATGGATATCGTATGGATTTTTACACATCTTTAACAAGGGGCACAAACTTTTTCTTTTCCATATTTGTATTTCATCCACAGTTACAAAGACGTTAGAAATTAAAAGGTGGATTTAAGAGTGCCTTGGGTTTGGTGCTACGTTAAAAGTCAGGACTCAATGCTGTCACCAATTATATCTCCCCATCTTTTGTTGCCAACTTGGCATTTCGATTAGCTTCCTCAGTCAAAGAGCTAAAACCCTTCTCTTCAAATCTAGCTCCCCAGCAATGGAGAACACATTTTCCTCCAAAATGTGTTCGTAATCCAAACCAACACCATGTGCTACATCCCCTCGTGTCTCAGCACATACTGATCCAGTCTTTGTCTCCCCTTGACATTTTCTGACGGAGCCCTACTCGCTTCAGCGTGCAGCGTGTGGTGCTTGCTTCAGGTCAGACCGAATGTCTCTCTGGTTCCTGCGTTTGTTTTGTTTGAGTGTGCGTCGACCTTTGGAGACGTCTCTCGCTGTTTTTATGGTCAAGACGCCTTCACGGACAAATATTTACTGATATTTGCTGCAAAATGTACCCTCTGTTATTTTGGAAAAACTTCACTGAAAAGTTTTTAAATCCTGACCTCCAAGAGATGAGTTCAGATTCTCCTGCAAATCTGAACTCATCTACTTCAATTGAGTAGATTATAGAAATAGAGCTTATGTGTGCTCACATTGTTTTATTTTTTAAAAAAAAAAAAAAAAAAGTAATATTGCTGCTTCTGGTGATGAAACCGGCAGCAAAAACGGCAACGTGTCAATCTTTTCCTTCCTGTATTCCCATTACCCGAGCCTGAGCCATTCAAATCCTCTGGGCTGCCACAGACCAGAACATTCCTCTAATGGAAATGCAAAGAGAGCAGAGAGAGCCAAAACCCAAAGCTGAAACACAAACACACAGGCAGGAACACACCACGGCTGTCTGTCACTCTCGTTTTTCGTCTGAGCAGGGTTTTTTTCTGGCCTGGAAATGTTAGCCTTCTGTCAGAGTGCTTTTAGTCCTGCTGTTCAGGGATCGAGTTGTGCGAAAAAACAAGATACCTGGATATTCATTTATGAGCACGCTCTGCTGCGAAAACATGAGAAGCTTTGTTTTTCCTTGGATCCTCGGTTTGAGACACACACAGTGCAGAGACACAAAGACACAAGTGTAATCATGGACGGTAAAGAGATTCTCACTGCTCCATGGCCTCATCAGTGTCAGCGCAGAATAGCACAAATATGTAAAACAAAAATGCATCAAATGAGAAGCTAATTTTAAAATAATGTAAAACTTCATATTACTACTTACAAATATGTGATGCCAAATTTTACAGCATTTTAGCCGCCTAAGCTAAATTGTGATCAAAGTCCTCAGTTGGGCTTATGAATAAAACAACATAATAGAGGTTTAAACTTTAGACTTAAAGCCACGAATGATTCTCAAATCAAGCTTTTATCAAGGTTTCAATCTTTATCTATTTGCAAGCTGTTCTCTTGCAATCGTGCTGCATTTACTGCACCAAAGACCCACCAACAGAAATACCTAATAACAGTTTGCTTTGCTGTTAACTGTAAATAAACAACACAATGCATTTACTTCAGGCAAAATGTACCGCATGTTGCTCCGTCAGCACTTAATCTAATGTTCTGCACACAGCAAGGACAAATGTGTGATATTATATTACGTTGTTCTCATCTTTTCCCTTTTAAAAAGTATGCAGTTTTCCTATTGTTACTGAATGTACCGTCAGCAAAACTCATTACAAGAAGAAAACCAATGAAAGGAGTCTTTGAAGCAAATAATTTATGAGGCTAATATTTTCCAGAGAAATTACAACAGCAACACGCTGCGTTCATGGAAAAGTCTCCTACATGAATAAAAGATTACTTCTACCATCTATTATAGTAACTGCCAACGAGTTGAACTAGCAGATTAATAACTTTTAATTTTGCTGATAAAACACTCCTTATGACACAGACGATTTTCCATTTCAAAATTTTTCGTTTTTGCTAACTTAATTTTCTTGATATTTCCATCAATTTGTGGGACATCATGGGAATTTATGTAGAGACATTCCACAAGTTGTAACTTTTATTTTTATTTTCCCCCACAAATCATGAATCAGCCCTGAAGGTTGCTCCTGATTCAGTGTTTGTGCTGCTATTTTGAAATCTTGACAAGCTAAAATTGGCTAAAATCTGGAACATCTCGATGATACTTTCATTTCACTAAATGGTCACAAAAATGAAATTTCAAAGCATTGTTTGGCATTTGAAGGAAACCCAATTCAAGAGCTATGCTTGCCAGAAAGTACAAGGAGAAACTGCAGCTGCACAAAAACAAATATAACTAAAATTTAAAACTCATATATATATATATATATATATATATATATATATATATATATATATATATATATATATATATATATATATATATATATATAT